TCAAAGAAAACCCACCAACGGATCCTGCATTTGACGCGTAAAGTGAGATTCTTTTTTAATTTGAGGATTGGAAATGGCAACGGCAACGGCAACGGCTGCTGAGGTTTACGGTACACCGTCTGATGAGGAGTTGCATGTTCTTGCTGTTGATGACAGTTATGTTGATCGTAAGGTTATTGAAAGGTTGCTCAAGGTGTCGGCTTGTAAAGGTATGTGTTTTTTTGGGGGTGGTGAGATGGATAAAAGATGTTTGTGAAGCTGATTGAATTTGGGTTCTTGCAGTCACGGCTGTGGAAAGTGGAATAAGAGCTCTGCAATATCTGGGATTGGATGGAGGGAAGAGCTCGGTTGATTTTGATGTAAGCTAATATTGCTTTAAATTTTTCTTTTTGTGTTTGTGTTTGGTTGATGAGAAAATGGAACAGGGCAAAAAGTTAATAAACTTTCATGAGAATAACAGAGATAATATGATGGACTGTGAAATTTTTATTTTTTTTTTCCTCCTTTTTGGTTAGGCCAAGTTGAGATGATTTTTTTTTTTCTACATTTTTCTCAGCAACCGAAAAGTTATTGCAAATTAAGTTTATTCTTTTCTTGTTCTTTTGAATGATAATTTGTTGATTTACAGGCTCTGAAGGTGAATCTGATCATGACTGATTACTCTATGCCTGGGATGACTGGTTACGAACTGCTCAAAAAGATCAAGGTCAGTTCTTTAGGCCTTCCCCTTTTTCTTTCAAGGACATTTTCTGAGGCCACTGTATCTCTATGATGAGATTTCATTCTATAACCTGTTATGCTGATCTGTTATTTAATCTACGTTTGAGCAGGAATCATCAGCTTTCAGAGAAATCCCAGTTGTGATAATGTCATCTGAAAATATTCTGACTCGTATTGACAGGTATAATTTTTTTTCATCTCTTCTTTAGGGTTTAGGGTGTGAATGCATTTTGATTGCAAATCAATTCTTGACACAACACAATCTAGGGAGTCCTTGGATGTTAATAAATATTTGGGCTCTATTTGATTTGAATTGAAATCATGTGCCTGTGAAATTGTTCTGATCGAAATCTGTTGAGTTAATCAGTATTTCCAGCCTGTTTTCATACTCATAATAGGGTGTGATTGTTATTGCATTACTAGGGACATAATAATGGAGATGTCACAAATATTGATGCCACTATTGTGTTCTGCAGACACCTTTTGTGGGTTCTTTAAACGAAAACATATTATAAAAACCTGCACATGGTGTTATCTTGTTGATTGGAACTACTGTGTAATTTAGAATTAAGGAAGAGAAGGATCCGAATCTTAATATCTTGAATGTTTAGAAGCAAAATATTATTTATTATATGTTTATCTTAATATTGTTCCAAAATTAAGTACCCAACCAATCAACTTGATCATATTGTTTCAGAACAATGTTTACAGCAACCCCATTGACAAGCTTCCTTTGTTTTACTGAAAATCAGGTGTTTGGAAGAAGGTGCAGAGGATTACATAGTGAAGCCTGTAAAACTATCTGATGTTAGAAGGCTAAAAGAATTCATAATTAAAGGGGAATTAGAGGAAAATTCCAAGACAAGACATCAGAAGAGGAAGCAAAGGGATGAGGATCAGCCCTCATCTTCATCATCATCATCATCATCATCATCATCATCCTCGCCAACAACTTCACTATCATTCTTGCAGTTGCCTGCTGGTGATGATGCATCATCTTCCGACCCACCATCTTCTCCATCATCACCGCTTAGTCAGCCGGAGCTCCTACTGGGTAGTCCCTCCAAGCGGTCTAAATTGCTTGACAGAGACTGATATGAGTGGCAAAGATTTGCCGTTTATTGTCTATAATCAGTAGTTTACTCACAACCCCCAAGTAGAAGATTAGTTTTGTTTTATTTATGTGTGTAGTCTGGCCTACATACATGCTGACTTGAAAGTTTAATTAGAACCAAATAAAAAGGTGAAAATTATGTAAGAAATGTAAAGAAAATCTTCTTGTACGTTTTGTGGGAGATGAAAACTTAATTGAAATCAGTGAAATCCCAAATGTGAGGGGATAAATTAATTTATCATCCTTGGGTTCCTTAATCTCGGTATTTGGTACTGGTAAAAGTTTAGTTTAACATCTGAATATGATTATCGTAATTTGCATTCAACTTTCTGGAGATAAACTTGTAAAAGGTAATAGACTTTTTTAACAGTCTAAAATGAAATATTAGTCTATGGGACTTCGAAAATCACTCTGCCCAAAATGACTGACTGATAATTCAAGAACTAATGGCTTCTTGGGTTGAACGCAGAAACTCACTTGCTTCAACAGTTCATCTTTAGCTATTTGGGATGACCAAGAAACAAGTACAGTGCCGCAGTTTCTTACTGTGTTGTTTGGTTGCGGGTTATTTTCTATTGTCGAGGTGGGTTGTTTTCTATTATAGGGACTATATTATCATATTTAATTGTCAAAAGTAATAGTATAAAATATAAAAAAGAAGTTAATCTTCTAAAATTAATAATAATTATTGTTAACAACATAGGATATTTTATTTAGGAACCGTTTTGATCCGGGGATATATAAGATAATAGGGATAATTTTTGTTTATTTTATAAGATTATGGTGTTTAGTTTACAAGTAACAAAATATTATGGTAATCTTTTATTATAAATAGTATTTATTGTTGATAATGTTTAGGATAATCTTATTATTTTGTTAGAGGGTGTTATTAAAATATTATTAGAATAATATGATTTTTCTATCTATTTTGTCCTTAATTAAAAACCATTTCAGACACAATTACTCTCAAATGTCTACCAAATAACAATTAGTTGGCCTTCCTACATTTGAGAAATTAGCTAAAACATCTTAGCCACAAAAAGTTTAAAAGTTAATAAAATACCCCCAGCCATCCAACCACCGACCGTCGACATCAATCACAGTACTGATGCACGACCGGCAAGATCTGATCAGTCGTGCATTGGTAAGGCCTTTTTCGGCCAGACCTGGTGATTCTATGACTGTTTCACGACCATAGATTTGGTTGTTTTTCGGCCATGGATTTGTGATCCATGGTCATTTCCGACTTTGCCGACGCACGAACAATCATATGCGGCCAATCGTGCGCTATTTTGTCAACTGTCGGCGGTGGCTGGCTGCCAGCAGTGGCTGAGGGTGGGTGTGGGGGTCATTTTACTACAAATTAAAGTTTTATATAACTATGGTGTTTTAAAAAAAATTCAAATGTTGAGGGTTAAAAGAATTGATTCAAAAAATAATAATAAAAAAATTTATTATATTAATATTTAAAAAAATAGGACAATTTAGTAATTTATATAACATACCCACCATTTATCTTCCCAATGAAACATATTATTCATCAATTTATTCGAACCAACCAAACACAATTTCTAAACATTCTCAGCAATCTTCAAGTTGATATTTCTTTCTATTTAATACAATATATCCTTACAATAAAACATTATATGATCCAAACGCTCCATTGGTAATGTTATTTTTGTTACAATTTTACTTCTTATTAATAAAAATTTTAGACAATAATGCATTTATTTTGAAATTAATTTACATGAACCTGTCATTGCAATTATATCCCTAATTAATTAAGTTTTTTAATAGTGATGCCTTTGTATTTAAAACAAATTGCAGGCTACCCAACACCACCACCGACCACCGACAGTGGCTTGGGGTAGGTGGGGGTGATTTTGTTAAATAACGTACCTATAAATTTATTCTTCCTAACTAAATGTATCAATATATAACATACTAACCAATTTATTTCAATCTAACCAAACATATTTCCCTAAATAATCTATCTTTTTATTAACATAACATTCTCAATAATATAATATTCTCTAAACCAAACCTTCTTTCGGTTTGACTTCAAGATATGAAGCATATTACAGGTGTTGCATGTGAAAGGAATCTAATATCTGTTGGGTATGGTATTATTCTTGGTTAAATGCTTCTCCTTTTCCCATCTACTACAACAAATCAAGTATCTTTGAATTTTTAATTTTAAATATGGCTAACTCTATCTGAATTTTTATGGTATAATATAGGAATAGCTAAAATTTATTTCTCAATAACACTTCCAAATTCTGTTGAATTCTTTAAATCCACTACAGGAACACCAAGATAAATACATAATTATTCGGGGTATCTACATTCTTATCACTCCCATAAATGGGGATGGTGCACAACTTTTAAAGCTTCTAGTTCTAATATCACCAAATCATTAAATGGACTGCAGGCTTTTCACTTTCATATTTATGTCTAGCCCATTCATTCATCCCTGAGTTTGTGTTGATTTGAGAGTAGCAGCAGCAGCATGTCTTGTAGCGTTTAAACCCATGGAGGTCTTTAAAGGAACAACAATGCAAATCAAAGATATAACTTGGGTTCAGGCCCTAGTTTCCGACTTTAGAAAAGAAAGAAAACTAGATCAGTTAGAACATTTTGACAATACTGTGATGCCGAGTGGCAGCTTGCAAGACATTCGGGTCTGGTCTTCAAAGTTTTTCTTGATTATTTTATTCTAATTTGATAATACTAACAATGCAACGAAGGATGTTCCAAGAGATCAAATTATATTTATAGACTTTGTTGTCGATTACATTGAAGTTGTGCAAGGCCGGCTAAAACTATACTTGCATCGAAAACTGGCTAACTCACTTAAAGGTCCTTCTGCCTGCAACAATCATATAGTAATCAAAATCTGAGAATATTATTGTCCCTTTTGTTAAGATATTATTGTCCCTTTTGTTAAGACTTTTTCAGCAAGAGTTAAGCAAATCCAACCAACAACAACTACCTTCATTGAAACTGTCAGCTAACAGAACCAATCTGCACGACAGAAAAATTTACTCCCACTGCCTAAAATCACATAGCATTGAAACAACAACAGAAAAATTTACTCACATTGCCTAAAATCACATAGCATTGAAACAACAACAGAAAAATTACTCTTTGAGAAAATGGTCCACCCATGTCCTTTACTTCTCTTTTTGTTGTGCTTCTTACTTCTTGTTTTCCTTTCTTCTTCCCGGTAGGATTCTTCAAAGAAAGTTGATAGTTTCTCTTTCCTGCGGAACAAATTCCAGCAATGCCACCACCTACATCAGATCGAAGCATTGTCAAGACCATTGCTGCCACAGCTGCAATTACTCTAGTTATTGCTGGAGTGGCGTTCTTATTCTTCCAAAGAATAGCAAAACACCGCAAGAAAACTAAAACCAACTCAAGCTTCCGTCGAGAGGAAGCAACACTCACTCATGAAGACTTCAATAAGTTTAAAGGAAAAGTAAAAGGTTTAATTGTTGATGAAAACGGACAAGATGTCCTGTACATGAGGAGACTCGAAGATGGGCAACTTAAAGCTACTTTTCCGAAGATTGTGTTCAATCCTAGTTATGAAGAAGAAGAAGATGAAGAAAACAGAGTGGACGTACTGAGAAAACCAAAACCAAGGGAAGCTTTGTCACTCCATGAGCCATCTGATTTGTATGGTTATAAGAAAAAGGCAGAGACAGTTCAACAAAATCCTACTCCACCACCTCCATTTTCAGCAAAGCTGCTGGAGCAAACTCCACCTCCTCCTCCAGCCACTCCAACTGAAAAAGTTCCAGCACCACCACCGCCGCCACCACCACCTCCTCCTCCTCCACCTCTGCTTGCTCGTCCACCACCGCCACCACCACCACCAATACCAGTAAAAAGAAATTCTACAACACTTCCACCACCTAAGGGACTAAATTCGATTCCATTATTGAAACCTCCACCTGCACCTAGACGGAATGCAGATAAGAGTAAGGAAGGAGCTGCTGCAGCGGAGAACTCAAAAAGGACTGTTGTTGGCCAGAAGAAGCTGAAACCATTGCACTGGGACAAGGTTTTAACCAATGTTGATCATTCAATGGTCTGGAATGAGATCAAGGATGGATCGCTTAGGTAATTTTTCCAAAAACACATTTATAACATAATTTGAAGTCCTGATGCACTACTACATTTCTTATTGCTGATTCTTCTACATGGTGCACAGATTTGATGATGAAATGATTGAAAATCTATTTGGATACACTACCACCAATCGCAGAACCCCTGGAAGCACTAATATGTCCATCAGTTCAAGCAGTTCTAATCCTGCAATGACTGCCCAAATTTTTATCCTTGAGCCCCGCAAGTCCCAGAATACAGCAATTGTACTAAGATCTCTAGCAATCTCCCGAAAAGAAATCATTGAGGCCCTCCTTGAGGGCCAGGGACTTACCAGTGACATTTTAGAAAAACTGACCAAAATTTCTCCAAGCCAAGAAGAATCGGCAAAAATCCTCCAATTCAACGGCAACCCAACTAAACTTGCAGATGCCGAGTCTTTCCTTTTCCACATCCTGAAAGCTGTTCCTTTGGCATTCATCCGTATTAATGCAATGCTTTTTAGATCAAATTATGATTCGGAAATTCTTCACCTTAAAGAGTCCTTGCAAGCTCTTGAATTGGGCTGTAAGGAGCTTAGAACCCGAGGGCTCTTCCTAAAACTTCTTGAAGCCATTCTTAAGGCTGGTAATAAGATGAATGCTGGAACCTCCAGGGGAGATGCACAAGGTTTCAACTTAACTGCCCTCCGCAAGCTGTCTGATGTTAAAAGCACCGATGGGAAGACTACTCTACTCCACTTTGTTGTGGAACAAGTGATCCGATCAGAGGGTAGACGCTGTGTAATCAGTCGGAACCATAGCCTTGGAAGAAGTAATACTCTAAGAAGCAAAAATAGAGATTTAAATTCAGATGGCCTCACAGCAGAGGACAAAGACAAAGAGTACCTTAAATTAGGATTGCCAGTAGTGGGAAGCTTAAGTTTTGAGTTCTCAAATGTAAAGAAAGCAGCCACAATAGAATGTGACCCTTTCATCAATACATGCACCTCTCTCACATCCCATGTTGCAGAAATTCGGCAGCTAGTGACACGCTGTGCCACTGGTGAGAAAGGTGGGTTTCTAAGGGAAATGAAAGGGTTTCTAGAGGAGTGCGAAGAGGAACTTAAAGTGGTTAGAGAGGAGCAAATAAGGGTTATGGAGCTTGTGAAGCGAACAACAGAATATTATCAAGCAGGAGGTGCCAAAGACAGATGGGCACACCCCATTCAACTGTTTGGCATAGTGAAAGATTTTCTTGACATGGTTGATCGAGTTTGCACCGACATTACTCAAAATTTACAAAAGAAGAATGTGATGAGTGTAGTATCATCGACGTCACCATCACTTTCACCAGCAGCAAGAACTCCAGTGACATTCCGAAATTTCCGTGAACAATTCATGTCAAATATAGCTGAGACGAAAACTTCCAGTGAATCAGATGATAGCTTTTGAAGAATATTTGTGTGTTGAAATTTGACCAACTCCAGAAATAAATATAATGGATTTCTCAGTCCTAGATTCATTTTCCATGATCAATTTTCTCTTTTTTTGTTCTGTTAAGACGATTAACGAAATAGGATGTTACAAACCCTAATCACCTAATGCAAACTTTTTGAAAAAAGAAAAACTATTAGATACAAATAAAATAACGATTTTAAACCCTAAGACACAAATGCCTAAAGTTAATTCAATCAACGAACATGAACCTTATATATATTTGTAAGCTGCCTCAAATGATATCAAGAGAGTACAACCCATGCATTTCCTGACCTCTTAAATTTCACAGTGACCAAACAGATTTCGTTAATCAGCTGGTGCATGAGAAATAATTACCTGATTGTTTGAGAAATTTACCATCGCTGATCTTGACCTTTCTGGATTTTGCTCTCGATGCTCAAGTAGAGGGGAAAAATCAAACATCCGCCCCATAGGACTTCACTTGTGTAAAGATGGCAAGAGTTTGGGCCTAAATTTAGGTGATACTAGGGATTTAAGCCGACTATGTCTTCCTGCTCAACCGATTCACCATAGATTAAAAATTAACCATCCAAGAAAAATAAAATGTATTAAGTAAATATGAAAGTAAATATATATATATATTTTCGCTTAGAAACAGTGATAAGTAGCTGGGTAACCTTTTCATTTACATCAACCACCATAACTTACCATTCTCAGGTTAATCTACAGTTCACGCGTCCCGTCATGGCGTCATGTTACAAGGATATTTTGGACTACCAAAACTACAGCTTCCAAGCAATTGCACTACCAAATCAACACAAGAAAATAAGAAAAAGTTGCAATTGTAGTGCGTGGATTGACTTGCCGTCATAAAAAAAAAAAGGTGTTTCTAGTGAAATTGCAGGGAAGTATCTAAGTCAGTCAATGATTGTTTAATGCCCAAAAACTCCTTAATCTGCGCTGAGGTCCACCATCCAATCGAGCAAGAAAAGGGTGTTCTAAGTCATTCTTCACCTGTTTCATCCCCTTTAAATTTAGCTCAGAGAATAAGAGAGATCAACAAGCAAAAGCACAGCTGCAAATTCCGCAAGAATGGCGAGTTCAAGGTTTGGGTTGGGAGAAGAGCTGATCAATAAAGCCTGCTCATTGGCGATGAAGGCTTATAAATATCCGGAAAAGCTTTATCTCCACGACAAGTCAAGTAAAACCGATGTGATATTTAGCTTTGCCGGAACTTGGTCGGTAAACGAGTGGTTCACTCAAAACCCATTTGGAAAAAAGGAGATCAATCGCGATCAATTTCCATCTCTAAGAAGTATAAGCAATGATGAAGTTGCAACAGTGAACGAAGCTTTTCTGAATAGATTTCTAACAATTTTGCCACATCTACTGAAGGAGGTAATTCTGATCACTGATCATCTATCTACCAATACTTTTTGACTTTTCTTTTTGCTTTTGCTATTCAAATTCACCATTTTCAGTTTAGCAATAGTCTTAGTTACCCTGTTCTGGTGTCAAGAAAAACTTAATATATCTATTACTTACCCCCTCGTTATATCCATAATCTCCATGATCTATTATTAAGGTACAAATTTCATGATTAAGCATTTCCTTTTCTAATAAAATAGGATTATTCTCTAATTAAATTTTATTTGAAGTCTTTCTTTGTAAAAGTCTAACAGAAAATGGTAATAACTACCATTCTCTTAATAATAATTTTTATCCAAGGCCCCAGATTTTCATTGAATCAGCCCTGCTGCTTGTGTTTCTGATTATTTCCAGGTGGGGAAAGCTGTGGCAGAGAATAAGCAAATAGTGTTTACAGGGCATTCCTCAGGTGGTGCTATTGCCATTCTAGTGACAGTGTGGTTCCTTCAGCAGCAATACAAACCCGATTCAACAATAAACCTCAGGAAGCCACCGTTCTGTGTCACTTTTGGATCTCCCCTTGTTGGTGATAGAATATTCAATCATGCTCTTGGGCGAGAAAATTGGTCACAGTACTTCCTTCACTTTGTTTCGAGATACGATATTATACCTCGAGTTTTGTTTGCTCCTCTCTCTTCCATCGAGAACTACCTACCCTTAATCCTGGATTACTTGAATCCCAAAACCACACTTCCCTTTCAAGAGCCAATTGAAGAAGCATCATCAAAACTTTATGAAAATGTAACGAGGAACGCTTCATCTCTTACAAGTCATGCCGCTTGTCAATTGATGGGAAACACAAATAGGTTATCCGAAACTTTGTCAAGTTTTATTGAGCTAAGCCCGTATAGACCATTCGGAAACTATATTATTTTTACAGATGATGAAAGCGAGCTGTTGCTTTTGAAAAACCCTGATGCTGTTCTGCAGATACTGTTCTACTCTTCTCAATTACGCTCCGAAGCAGAAGTTCAACAGGTTGCTATAAGAAGCCTCAAGGAGCACCAGAAATATCTAGATAAATTACAGAGCTTAGAGACGAAAAATGTGACCGATTTAGACTCTTGGGATGGGCTTCCATTGTCTTCAGATGGTGTTGTTGGAAGAGAAAGAATTGACACTCTCTTGAATAACCTGGGTTTGGTAAGTCTTTTAAGTAATGCCAAAATTAAACATTCGATTTTAAGATTTTTCATATCAAAACTAATGTTTATGTCTTGAATCTTCCAATTACAGAGCACAAGAGCCAGATTGTGCCTTTGCGCTGCCAAAGAGTTAGAGAAGCAAAAATTGAGAAACCAAGAAAGGATCGACGGTAAAATGAGGAATATCGAAAATGGAATAGAAAAGCTGGAAAGATATAAAGCCAAGTGTGAGGCTAACAAACACAGCTACTATGATGCCTTCAAGAAGTCAAAAGGCCATGATGATTTCGCCGCAAATGTGACGAGGCTTGAATTGGTTGGTATCATAGACGAGATAATGGAAATGATAAAAAGATACGAACTTCCTGATGGGTTTGAAGGTCGTGAAGAGTGGTTGAATATTGGAACAAGGTACCGACGCATTGTTGAACCTCTAGATATTGCTAACTACTACAGGCACTTGAAAAATGAAGATACAGGAGCTTAAATGATAAAAGGCAGACCGAAACGATACAGATTCACCCAAAAGTGGCGTGAGTATGCCTTCAAAATGGAAAAAGGATCCAGTTGGGAATCCTGTTTCTGGGCAGAGGTAGAGGAGCTGGAGATTTGCCTTAGAACTAGTAACAATTTCGGATTGTCAGAAGATGTTAGGGAAAGGATTTCGCACCTGGAAGAAAAGGTAGAATCGTGGATTGAACGTGAAGAGCTAGGTGCTGATGTGTTTTTCGAGGATTCTACCTTCATCAAGTGGTGGAACACACTCCCTGAGCAACTTAGATCAGAATCTCGCATTACAGGGCTCATAAACAAGAAATTTTGTCCATAATCGTCTTCTTCAATAACTAACGCTAACAATTGTTAGCTCCAAGCTTGTTTTACATATTATATAATTACAGTATCTAGTTTTAATGTATACTTGATCAATATATTCTAAGATTTGAAAGCATCAAAAGACCCGCCTTGCGGGCCTTTCATGGATTGTCAAGAACAGAGCTGCAACTGCTTTTTATTTTTTTTTTGGTTGTTTCCAAAGACATGTCTTCCCCACAAGTCAAGAGAAACCCCAGTCCCCACCCAAATTCTTTCAAGGATTTCCCAGGATAGCAAGTGACAAATAACAAGATTATATGTATTATATCTTTAAGATGACAAAATTTGACGAACTCCATGATCCAGCTAAAACTTACTGGAAATGAATTCAGTAACAGGGTTTGAGACAAAAGTTCAAACTATCAGCAATCACAGGAGAAAATGAACAATAAGAAACATCATAAAACAAATTGGTTTTAATTGAAATTATTACTCGCAATCAATCCAAATAAATGCCCCATTAGAAATATTATTACACGCAATACATCCAAATAAATGCTCAATTAGCAGTACGAACTCGTGAGTAGATACATGAATGGCTGCAACTGCAAGAAAAATAAATTGAGGTCTATGAACCATTTGTAAGATAAAAGCCCTTAGAGTACTAGTAGGGCAATAGATTCAAGTGTTTAGCAATGTTAAATTACTGCATGAAAACAATGCTTGCAACAATTGTAAAATCATAATTTCAAAGACGTAAAGGTAGTTTAGATTGTACTTTACTAAATGCATCCGACCAATCATTTAGATTGTAATTTGCTAGATTCTGGCCACACTCAAAAGGTTAAATTTATACAGAAAATAGGGCTTGCAACAATTGTAAAAACATAAATACAAACATATGTACAAGTACAACGTGAATGAAGTTGTGCTACATCCCTGTTTTCAAGCCAAAATTGAGCAAAACTACAATCTAAATGATAAGTACATCATTACCCAAAAAAAAAAATGATAAGTACATTTGAACAAAATCTAACATTATAAGACTTCTTCGATTAAAAGTGATGAGGCCAGAAGGTTTCACAGTACTTCAATTTCCCAAAGAACTAAAACTTCACCGAAGTAATTCATGTTAGTAAAATGCAAAATTTCATTGCTTAAAATGAATACATCACGGATGACCATATAAAATGAGTAAATAAATTGCTAATACCTACCCCAGACACAGGAACACTTCAACTTCAGGTTGGGTTAGCATATGACTTCGTTATCAAGATCCAGTATCGATAGTGCCCCTAAAACAAATGCTGCTAGCTATCATGAAAAAGCTGGTAAAGCATGACAATAGGTCCCTAAACGAGAATTTTCCACAACAAAAAAGCAAATAAAGATGAGAAGCAGTTCAAAAGAGAACCACAATAATTAAGAGATCCAAAATTGGCCAAGAACACAATCACACATGTGATAATCTACTATCACAGCCTAAGCTACTGAGCTATACACAGATTAGAATGACTCAGAAAGAAACATTTATCTCTAGGGTTTCTACACAAAATTACAAACATGTGTGGAGAGGGGAGATCGGAAGTACTTACAGATAAAGAAACCCTT